GGGGGTTTTCTAATGTTTCCACTGCCCGGAAATAGAGCAGTCCGAAGCGGACGGAGTAGTAGGCTTGCGCCAAAGTTATTTGCAAAGACTTGACAAATTATTGCATTCGATCGAGTAAGCAGCCCTGGGGCACGCCGGAACGTGTCGGCAGCCTTAAGTGCTACTGTAGGTCCGCTGTAATGAGGTTTGGCTTCATCGGTTTCCGGCCCCTCCATTTTGTTCCCCTTTCATCCTTTCCCCTTCACACACACACACACTTTCTTTCCTTCTTTCGCTTCATGTCTTCTCTGTCTTCATGTCCCGTCATCTCATTCCGTTCTTTCGTTTGCGTGCACCTTGCACTTTGGTCCGGCTTTTAGCATGCACGCGCACATCCACATTTTACCCAGGTTTCAGGTCGTCCAGGTCTTGACAATGAGGTGGGGCTTACTGTTTGTCCCTGGTCATTTGATTTTCCCTTCATCGCAACCACACACAGCTTTGTCCTGTCGTGTCCCCTTTTCATGTCTTCATTTTCTTGTCCTTTTTGCGTGCGTGCATGCACATCATTTGGCCCTTAACCTTTGGGGACCCCCTTGCACGGGGCGCGTGTGTGAAAGAAGCCCTTGGAGTCACAGGAAAACCTTTGATTTTGTAATTTGCTTCGGAGCCTTTCATGTAGCAGGGGCACCGGGGGTGCGGTGAGACCGGTGCTAACAAAGACGCTCCGTCAGTTATACCTGTGATACAGTTGGAGACGTCCAACTGCGTACCTGCAGAGTTCTGAAACCGGTTGTTCAGTACGCGTTTCCTAAATGTGTGTGTGTCTCCAACCTCGCTGCTCGCTGTTTCTTTCGTTTGCTTGTGCACACTACCTACCACCTATACCGTCAACCTTAGGCGTTGACCTCCAACGTCCTTGCGATGACCTCCAACCTAAAAGCGATGGCCTTTAACCTACTACTTGTCACTTTTGTTTTGCTTGTGCATACTACCTACCACCTACTAGTGACGGCCTCCAACCTTAGGTGTTGGCGTCCAACTTCTCTGTGAAGCCCTCCAACCTAAAAGCGGTGGCCTTTAACTTACTACCTGTTCTCCTGGGATCTCAGGTTTTTTAACTCAGGCCGGCGTGAGGCAAACAGCAATGAAATCCGCACGCAATTCTATAAGTGTGTGTTGGTAGCAGCAAACCGGCAAACCCACCAACACCGGCCAAAAGCAAATACAATAGTGTGTCTTGACTTTCATGTTCTCCGATATCAAAAAATCCGCAAGCTGATCTTCCAAGTTGGTCGCAGTGAGTCAGAAACTCAAGCTGGCATTTTCCCAAGAACACAACGAATTGTGAACTTTCGTGTTGCCAACCAGCAAAAAGTTCAAGAACACCTGCCCCCGAAGCTTCCAATTTTCTGGACATGCAGGCGTATCATGTTCCCAAATGAAGTTTTGACAGGAAACTCAAAACACCAATCTCGAGCGCAATGATTCCCAAATAAAGTCAACGCCAGCGCGTGTCAAAATTTAAACAACTTATGTGCGGCAGTTACCGCAAAACCTCAAGCGAGTTCTCAGTGTGTCATTTCTCAAAAATGTTGGAAATACAATCAAAAGCGAAACTCAGAACAGCTTATCTGCACAAATTTTGTGCGGCGTTTCCTTTTTTTCCTTTTGCTTTTCCGTTTCCTTTTCCCTTTCCTTTGTCTTTTCCCTGTCCTTTTTCCCCTTCCTTTTCCATTTTCTTTTCCTTTTCCCTTTCCTTTTCCTTTTTCCTTTGGCTTTTCCCTTTTCTTATCCCTTTCACGTTTTTAAGACAACAGCCAAAAGCCACCCAAAAAACATAATAATAGGGCTAACGCCCTGGTGCCGCCGACCCCCCTTTTTGGGGCCAGGATCGAAAACCCCGTGTAAGGAGCTTGTCAGATGTCGTTAGAACCATCCGCGACAGATTCGCGATGAGGTTCACGAAAGTATTTTTTCCGCGAAAGACTTATCGAAGGTCATCGCTTTCATATGTCTTCCTTTCTACCATTGGCGCTCCCAGGTCTAGAACGCAATGTGAGTTCTCCAACAAACGACACACCAAACCGGAAAGGTGATGGCTAGACAAGCGAGCAATGCCAACATATTGGAAATCGCGGCCAAGCCAAGCACGCACGCATCCAGCAAATCAAAGACAGCAGCTTTCTTGCAATGGAAGCAAAGGATCTAGCAATTGGCAAGGTAGCAGCAGACTCTTTGAACACACGGCCATGCTTTCGCTATTTCTGGCTGGTGGAAATCAAATCAGTGAACGCCAGCTAGAAACAGCGAGCGCAAAATTAACTCAGCGTGTCCCAGTTTTCTTTTGTTAAGGTGGATTATTCAACATTCATGATCCTTTTCTTCAAAGCTTCCCGTGACTCTTGGGAAGGAAGCAGTGGCCGATGCATATGGAACAGAGCCTTCATTAAGAGCAATCAGCCTATCAGACTACCAGGTTCAAAAGGCTTACGCCGAGCAATCGAGCAAGGCTTCGGCGTCCGGTGCATCACGCAAAGCTTCAACCGGCAATGCCAAGAGGGGGTCGCAAGGAAATGCGAGGGGCCCAGAACTGCTCTGTTTTCACGAATGACAGGTCTTCCGCGGGCTTGCGTTTGAGCGACGAAGTGCTGCGTGCACGGCCCCGATCTGCCATCTCGAGAGGAGAAACCCTGCGGCGCATATCTTCGGAACGAAGTTGAATTCCTCGTGTTTACCTACTTCCAGCGACGCATCGAACAAGACAACGAAAGAAGCGCGCAAACTCATGGGCCCAAACAGGCCTGGCCAAACGCCGGTGTGACTTGTGGGATCTGTGTGAGAAGATACGCAAGGAGTGAACTCCGATCTGGATGTCAGGCGCCATTGGTGAAGTGGCCGCCTTCTCCTTTTTTCCGACCAAGGCGGGTCAGTGCTCGGTGTGGCAGGTTGCAGGTTTTTTTTTAGGAGGCTAAGGGGGCACGAATTCGCCCTTTGTATTTCCAAGTCGCTTGCAGGCAAGTTGCTACTTCATGGCGATTGTGTTTGCTGCTTTCCCATAATATGCGTGCATAGTCATACAGTTATTGGCCAGCGCGATCGCATTTGGGTTTGCTACCTACATACTCTTGATTGGTCACGCTTGGCATTCGAATTGGGAAAACCTCGGCCAAGAACTGAGAGAAGGAAAGGTGACACACTTAGGTGACCAGCTCTCCCTGAGCAAACTACGCTTTGAGAGATGCCAGGTGATGACTGCCGGCGAGGCAGGAATGATCACCACATCCAACGAGGCGCTCTTCAAGAAGATGCAGAGCATCAAAGAGTTTGGCAAGGAGCAACTTTTGATGTGTAATTCTGACATTTCTGGAGATTCTGGGCTTGCCCCGGGCAAATAACCATTTGTGGAAAGTTCTTTTGAAGATGCTGGGGTATTATGCATTTAGGGAGAGGCCGAAAACATTTTTTTAAAATATGAGGATTTCGCAGGTGCACAGTCAGACGTCTCCGACTGCTTCCCATGACATCGCTAGCTTCGTTGGCCAGCGTCGTGATGCCATGCGCTGGCCCTGCTGCATCGAGTGAAATGAAGGAAGCCCTTGGAAGCAGGGCGTGGCACACGCAACAGGCCGGTCATCGGCGCTTTGGTGGAAGGCAGCTGCGCTTTTTGTCCGTGCAAAAAATGCTTGCAATGGCTCGGTGGGCGCCCCTTCTGAACGTAGAGGTTGACTAGCTTGCTCACAGCTTCATCGGCCGCTGAAGGTGGAAACGTGTGATGTCGAATGGTGTGGACGCGGGAGGCCAAACCGGAGAGTCGTAGGCGCAAGCTGCCGGCCGAGGCATGGTCACGGATTTTTCATCAATCAAGGTCGATGTTGAATCCCAGAAGATGAAGATCATCAACTGGTTCAACGAAAAAGCTTGCTGGGGTGGATGAGGGGTTGGATGGCAGGGTGTGAGCGGAGTCAAGTAGGCTGGTGTGCAGCCCGGCCCCTCGAAGTTGTTGAACGCGCCACCAGCCCAAAGGCCTAAGTGAAAAAAGGGCCTGAGTAAAACGTTGGATGTAAGGATTTGGTTGAATTGCGGACATCGGTGCAAAGTTTTCTGTGAAGACCGTTGCCAGGTTGACAGAAAGAAAGATTTGATACTGTGCGCGGATGAGCTTTAAATCGTGAAAACAAGAGACTACAGACCGGGACCGCCGGGACACCTAAACAGCCTTTCACCTCTACGATGCGATTAGACGATAGTTGCAACCTTCACAACAAGATGCAGGTACGTTATTCCGTCCCCATTTTTGGTTGGCGGGTGAGACACGCTCCAGCTGGAGAAGTCAACTACTTATACGGTATTTGTGCATGTATATGTTTGTGTAAATGTGTATGTGCATGCAAGTATGTAAGTATGTAAGTCAGTATGTATGTATGTATGTTTGTATGTGTGGTATGTATGCTTTGCATGTTATGTATATTATGTTTTCTTTGTTATCCTATGTCATGTTATGTCGTGATATGTCATGATATGTCATGTCATGTCATGTTGTGTCATGTTAGTAAGTATGTATGTATGTATGTATGTATGTTCGTATACACATACTTCTGGCAAGGTTCCAGGGTTCTGGGAAGAATTCATGTGGCCACTGGGTTTGAGGCCAGGGAAGGGACAACAACAACAGCAGAATTTCCATTTTGGAATATTTGTGCACGTATTCTTGCAGTTTGGAGGACATCGAAGGCCCCAGATCCAGACTGGTGCAAGTGCTCGCCAACGCCACGAATGGCCGCATTTCAGAGTGGGGTGCTCAGGCTACAGGGGACCAGCATCCCTGGAAGGAGGTCGCCTGCAGGTGACCCATCGCCCCCTTCATTCTGGATTTCTTTTTTGAAATGGTTGTAGGTCCCTACTTGCAGGCGCGATGATCCAGTACTTCCTGTATGCAGACAGCTTCCCAGGTTCACAGGTTTGCTTGGACTTCTTGAGTGTGGCCGCGTCAAAGAACGCATCCAGCGCGAGGGCCTTAGGATCTGTAGCGTCTCAACATAAGCCCCTTTCTGGACACAACTAGTGTAGAAGTGCAAAGTGAGTCTTGACGGTCCTGCGTTGCCTCTACGAACAAGGGCTATTCCACTTGATGTTAACTTGTGCAGCTTCAAGCGAGCGGTGATGCTGCAGTGTTTGAAGCCCACATGTTATTGCTCCAGTTGTGCAAGTCCAAGTGTTAGCAAGATGATGGTAACGGAGTCGTTTGTTTGTCAGTGGTTTCAGTGCCTGATTTCGGACATTTTTTCAATCAGAGTGGCCATGAACGCTCGCTTCGCTCTTCCTGCTCTTCCCGGTAGTAGTAGTAGCAGCAGTAGTAGTAGCAGTAGTAGTAGCGGTGGTGGTAGTAGTAGTAGTAGTAGGAGTAGTAGTAGTAGTAGTGGTAGTGGTAGTGGTAGTGGTAGTGGTAGTGGTAGTAGTAGTAGTAGTCGTAGTGGTAGTAGTAGTAGTAGTAGTAGTAGTCGTAGTGGTAGTGGTAGTGGTAGTAGTAGTCGTGGTAGTAGTAGTAGTAGTAGTGGTAGTAGTAGTAGTAGTAGTAGTAGTAGTAGTAGTAGTAGTGGTAGTAGTAAGTTGTAGTAGTACCAGTGGTAGCAGCAGCAGCAGTAGTAATAGTAAGTTGTAGTAGTAGTCGTTGTCGTAGTAGTGGCAGTTGTGGCAGTAGTAGTAGTAGAAGAAGTAGTAGCAGTAGTAGTGGTAGTGGTAGTGGTAGTAGTAGTAGTCCTAGTCGTATTTGTAGTAGTAGCAGCAGTCGTAGTAGTAGTAGTAGCAGTAGTACTAGTAGTACTAGTCGTAGTAGTAGTAGTAGTAGTCGTAGTAGTGGTAGTAGTAGCAGAAGCAGTAACGGTAGCAGTAGCAGGAGCAGAACAACTTACTACTACTACTACTACTGCTACTACTAGTACTACTACTACTACTACGACGACTACTACTACTACCACCACCACCACTACCACCACTACCACTACCACTACCACTACCACTACCACTACCACTACCACTACCACTACCACTACCACTACCACTACGACGACGACGACGACGACGACGACTACTACTACTACTACAAGTACTACTACTACTACTACTACTACTACTACAAGTACTACTACTACTACTTCTACTACTACTACTACGACTGCTTCTGCTTCTGCTTCTGCTGCTGCCACCACCGCTACTACTACTGCTACTACTACTACTACTACTACTCTACTACTACCACCACCACTGCCACTACCACTACCACTACCACTACCACTACCACTACCACTACTACTGCTACTACTCCTACTGCTACTACGACTACGACTACGACGACGACGACGACTACTACTACTACTCTACTACTGCTCTACTACTGCTACTACTACGTACACTATACTGCTACGACGACGACTACTACTAGCACGACTCGTACTAGCGCTAGTACTACTACTACTACTACTACCACTACTACTACTACTACCACCAATACTACCACTACAACAACAACAACTACTACTACTGATACTACTGATACTACTACTACTACTTACTACCTACTACCTACTACCTACTACCTACTACCTACTACCTACTA